ATATGCTGACTCTGTAAACCGCTTAGAGAGGGCTGAAAGCCCTAGGAAGCGGTATATAAGTCTATTGCTATTTATTTATTCATGTAGCTAAGTTTATATGCCACTCCATTCCTGTCCGAGCAGCTTCTAGGCCTTCCAGAGAATAATACAATGAAAGCTTAACGGTGTAAGGGTAATATTATAACCACATAATAAATAACATTCCACATGGCAAAAGAACCGCCTTGGTGGTTCAGAAGACCTGGGGGGGGGGGCAGGGGAACCCAGGTCAGTGCTTCACAGAAGGCTAGGAGGACAGAGGAGGCCTTCAGGGGGAAAGTGATTCGTAGGGCACGGAAAAGGCAGGCTCTCTGGTTCCCATCAAAGGGCAATCTTTAAGGGAAGGGGCTGGAAGCAGGCCCAGCCTATCTGGCCTGGAAAAGACAGAGAGTCCTGCAGGTAGGCTGGTCCTGTGACGACCAAGCAGCGCTTGGAACTCCACCTGAAAGAAGCTGCGAGCCATGGCAGAAACCCATCACCACACAAGCTGCCACAGTCTGGACCAGTTTCTGAGGGGGACTTCAAGGGCAGCCCCAAATAGAGCCCATTACAGTCATCCAAGCAGGATGAGTAACAAGGTGCCTGGCCTCTCCTTGGGTCACCCCCATTCCCCCCCCCCTCGCCTCCTTTTCAAGGTTCGGCATTTGCCCGGCCTCTGCCGCAGCCCTAGAAAGCACACAAGCCGCTCCCTCCTCCTCGCGCCTGATCCGCGACGCCCGGCCCAGCCCGGAGCTCCTTCGGCCAAGCGAAGGAGTGTTTGCCCGGCTCCTCCCCAGGGTGGGAACGGCCAAGCGGCATCCCAGGGCCGTCCAGGCAACAGAAGGCGGTGACCCTCCTTGGCAGGCGAAAGAAGCCGGGGGCCTCGGGCTCCTCTGCCTGGCGGAGCGACCCTCTCTGGGGCTCCCAGCCTCGCTCTGGACCTCGGGGCTCTCCCGAACAGCCGAAGCGGGCCCCGCACGGGACAGGCGCTGCCTTAACTCGACCTCTCTGCTTCCCACCGACGGGAACCTCGGCTGAAACGGAGTGGCCTTTTGGCGAGATGGGCGGCTGGGCAAAGACCCCTCCTATACCCCTTCCCCATGACTCTGCGGGAGACTCACGGCCCCCCTTTTCCCGCTGGGGTGCAGATAGATTCGCTCCCCCCCCCAGGGCATTGTGCCCTGGATGGAGCGATTGAAAGGGGGCGCTGAAGCCTCCCGGGGTGGCTTCGCCTGCGGGTGCCCGCGTATAAGAAGAGGAGCCTGGACAGCACAAGCGCTTTGCGGGGAGGGGGGCTGGGGTGATAAAAGCAGATCCTGGCTAGAGGCCGCCTTTCTTCCCCATGGCTATCAACCCTCTTGAGGTACCCAGACGGGGCACCTTCCAGGAGGCGGGGCACCTGCCCTGGGGGTACCTGGACAGGCGAGAGGAGACCCGCCCAGAAGACCGGGAGGGGGGCAGGTGGGCCTGGCGATGGGCGTGGGCAGCTGACCTTCCTTCGTTTATCTTGCAGGCGGCGGGCCCTTGGAGAAGGGAGGGGGCCAGGCAGAGCCTGAAGCAGGTACTGTGCCAGAGTCCCCGCCTCTCCTGGGCCGGGAGGGCTGGTGGGGGCGGGGCTGCTTTGTGCCGAGAGCTTCGGTGCTCAGGTCTTCCTCCCCGTCTGTTCCCTTTAACCTGGCCGTTGAATTAACGCGGCGGTTCATTTCATGCAGGGGGGGCGGTGCCGTTTGCCCCAACCCAGCGAATTAAGCCCAAGGGGTCAGCCGGCCTTGGGTGGGGGCTTCGTCAGTCTCTATCCACAGGTCAACTCCCGGGAGAGGCCAGGAAGAAATGACTCCCTCCATTTGGGGCAGTGGCAGAAACAGGCTAGGGAGATACTTCCCCAACTGCCCCCCCAGAGACCCCTTGGCTTATTCCCCCCCCCCCCCACAAGCATCTGAGAGACAGCTCCTGCCCCCTGGTGGCCACCAGGAGGACTAAAGAGTATTGAGAAGCTGGGATGGGAGGCGGCCCCTGGCCCCACATTTTCCCTGATAGGCAGCTGGCTCTGGATGCTTCTGCTGGGGGTGGAGGGGGGAGCAGAAGAGAAAGGAAGACGCTTTGAGCCCCTGCTGTCTCCCTCT